AGGGACACCTGGACCGGTCTCTAGTCCATCACAGGGACACCTGGACCAGTCTCTAGTCCATCACAGGGACACCTGGACCAGTCTCTAGTCCATCACATCATATATATATATATATATATACCAAGGCCACCATTGACCATCCCCTGGTTCTGTCAGGTGGTAGATAAGGTGGTTCCCTCCACACACCAGGATCCGTCACTCTGTGCTGCCTTGGACAAGATAAAACACCTCCCTATGATCTTCTCCACAGTGTAACTCCTCCCCACCTGAATATCTTGCACCAAAAACATTAAGGTTGATTTCCAGTTCAGATTTCCAAAACGACAAACATTCACTATTCCCTCAGCAACGGGAGACGTCGCCCTGCATGTTTCAATGCTTTAAGAGGAATTTTGTAAAAAAAAACGGTTCCTGGTGAATTTCTGAGCTTTGGAGTTTTATTTACAAATGATGTTTCAAACTCTTGGAGATTTTCATACCAACAAATTTCACGTTTACTTCCTGTAAGGATTCTGCTTTCTGTGCTGCCGAGTCATCGACATGTTATATTTCCATTTACGGTTGATGCGCTCATCAGAAAATGTTGAGCACATGCCCAGCCTCCAGCTGTACCTTACTTTTAACCAACGTTGTTTCTCATGAGTCGTGCATCACCTGGTCCTCTAAATCTGACCCAGCCATTCAACCTTTATTTATACAAGTTAGTCTCTTGGAGCCTCGAGGACGCATTTACAAGAGAGACCTGTCAGAAGCAGCGTAGAGCATCATTCCCTGTGTGTAATGAAGTTTATGTGAATCAGAAACTCGAGTTCCAGTAAGTTTATGTTAACTGGTGGTAAACTATGAAAAGGAACATCCTCTTCTTGGCATCAGTTTTGTTCACGTTGACTTTCTCTAAACAAAGTAACAAACAGCAGCAGCGTTAGTTCCTACTGTTCCACTGTTATGAGTATATCTGAGATTCATTAAGTACAGGGACCCACCGTGTTCGGCTTGAGACTCAGCTGTACGGTTTCAACCCAAACTCACACTCATGAACTGCTGACCTGACAGGTGGAAGCTAAAATCCACGCTGTATCTCTCGCTGAGGCATCTTTATAATTCTCAGTCAATCATGAAACCTGTTTACATATATGGCTGTCAGCAAATCACCTGAGCCAAAACCATTCCCACATTCCACACACTCGTGCACAGTAACATGTTAGCAAGATTTCAGGTACGTGTGAGAAATCCCAAAAGGACAAACACAACAGTCGGGAGGTGAGAACGACTGGTATTACATGATTTAGTCAAGAGTTCAGCCAAATGGCAGACGGCCTGTTGAACCGCAGTGTCCCTGTTCACATCAGCCCTAAACGTTCTAATGTAGATACTTTATGTTGTAAAATCTACAAATTATAAACTTAGGGGTTGCTTTAATGATCTTTTAAAATCAAAGGTCTAGCATTGCCTGAAGGAATGCATATCGCCCGGTGCCTTTCATGCCAGAGTTTAAACTAAAATTGTCTCATGTTGAGAAGCTGCTTTGGTCAAACCTTGAAAAGGACGTTCTGCACAATCTTATGCAACATTGTGAGATCTCATAAAATTTGTTAGCACTCAGAGAATGGGCTACCGCATTCATTTTAACTCCGTATCTGTAAAATTATAGCTAATCCTGTGCTGGCTAAAGTTAGTCATACTGAATGGGGTTGACTCCAGATGTGAGTGATTTTTTTTTTTAGAGATTAGTTTCCAAGGGTTTAATTAAAATCAGTCCAGTGGTTGAGACATTTTGACAACAGCACATTCGCAGGCAAAAATAATTTTTGTTCGTTCTTACTCTTGTTTTTTTTCTCTCTCTCTGTGCACTCTTGTGAACCCTTAAATAGCCTCTTTTTTTCCTGCATACCTTCCTAATTCGAAGGATTTGATCAGCTGGTCTCAACAAAATTGATCAACCTCTCCCGACAGGAGTCTGGGTAAGGAGGACCCTCTTACCTCGACGGAAACGAATTGGATTCATGATGACAACTGGCTTCTGCTGTTTGGCTTGGTGAAATCAGGATTGTCTACACATTTATGTGGATATGTCGAAGCTTGGCAGCACTCAGACGGAATTATGTGGAGCTGCGTCAGAGTTGGAGCAGCTGTTATCAGGACTGTGGACTTTCTGGCAGCACCCATGAATGGTTGGGAATAATCTTGGAGAAAGCTGTGAGTTTGACTTTCGACGTAAGGACTCAGTTCGGCTGTTTGGAGTCACCATCAGAGAAATGTGCCAGCGAGACTTTAAAAGGCAGAAACAGCAATTCACGAGTTCTGCCTGACACAAACTGTGGCCTTGACGGCGGATTTATCTCAACTCCTCCTGGCATGTTTAGGAAAAACAAAGATGCTTCATCTGTCTCCTCACCCCTCCCTTCCCCAAGGCCGTGGACATGTGACAGAACCTCAACCGAGCTGATGATGAATAACACCTCTTTTCTGGACAATGGCTGAGGGGGGGCTCTGGACTATGCTACGAGCTTCCCTTAAAATGCAATGTCTTCACCGGCCTATACAGTATGTATATGTATCATGTTGTGTTATGTTGATTTGCTGTAGTAGGTTTTTTGATGCCTCAAATCATGCCAAGCCTAGGACAAGGTGTTGAGATCTTTTTTTTATATCGTCTCTCCTCATGTTTTCTTCCCTTTTTCTCATCTAAGCAAAAATATTGTTCTGAAGAAGAATAAGAGGGCCGCGCTAATTAGCAGCAGCTTTGTGCACACCGTCCATCTTTTGGACGGCTGTACGTACATGTTCTCGTTGTATCTCGGTGCAATGGTAATGAAGCTTATTCTGATTCTATTCTTTGGTGGCAGCAACAAGAAAAAGGCTCTAAACTAACCTGCAGCAAGTCAACTTCCCAGACCCCTGTTTACAGAACAAACAGATCATCTCGGCTCTTATAAACCCAGTTTTACCATTATATTAAATCTTAAAGTCCACAGTGTCTCCATTTAAAACTTCATACAAATGACATGATAAACACACACAAAGTCTCAGATGTTTGTCTGGTCCATAGAGTCTGAGATGTGAAGCTACCTAACGGGAGATTTTCTACACGTGATTCAAATAGTCCCACCATCAGCAGCTTCTGGACCGTGGTGCCACCTGCTTTGTCTTTATTGAGAATAAAAACAACAATCTGTCCGACTGAATCTTTACTTTCAGGTTTTCTTCTCTGTCCAAACTACTTGAAAGCTGTCAGTTTCTGCAGTCTTTAGTTCGACTCCTGTCGAATCTACGAAACATAAAAAAGCATCCGTTTGGACTCCTGTTTGTAAAACTTTAATGTTCTACTGTGGATAAACAGAACAGAATTTCAATAAGAACCTGGTCAAAATAAACGTGTATGTAAAAACAAAAATGTGTGCATTTATTAGTCAGTTGTGCATGACTAGAGTTTGTACATGTATTGTATGTTTCCTTTATAAAAATACAATTTTAAAAGTTTCAACTTCACAAACTTACAAATACAAACTTCAAGTTTATGGTTGTGGTTTATTCTTTATGAACACAGAGAACTATGGGAATACATAACCTGGGAGTACAAATTTACAACTGTGATCCTACGTCACGGGCCACAGGCTGGTTAATAGAGCACAGAACACATGGATACGCGTTGTGCATGCATTCTTAATGTTTTCGCCATTTCAACTTAATAGCACCACTGGAATATCTTTTAAAAATAGGAAAACGAATCACCGACATATTATCAGTATACACAAGAGAAATGTTAGCAGTTCTATTAGCAGTACAGTGGGTGGAAGATGTAAACAATAATTTGTTCAGATTGAAGTTCCGTATTAATGAGTTTAAAACGCAGTCATTCAGACAGCAGGCCAGAATACTCCATTATTCAGAATACAAAGGATGGGATTAACAGGAGCATTTTTATGGTACCAGCACATGTTGGAATTAAAGGAAATGAGATGGCGGATAAGATGGCAACTCAAAATCATATTAGCTTCACAGCACATACGAGTAAATCAGAGGTGAGAAGTATCATAAAAACTGAAGAAAGAATGGCAGAAAAGGTGGGATGGAGAAAGAAGAGGATCAAAACAAACAAAAACAAAAATACAAGTTGATCAAAAAGACAGTTAGAGAAATGAGAACTGGGACTTGCCTGGTGACAAAAAGAGAATAAATCGACCGCTCGTCCTGAGCCTGGTTCTACTGGAGGTTTCTTCCTGTTTTTTGTAAAGTTGTAACTTTTTTTAAATTGCATTTTTACAAATGAAACATACATGTACAAGTTCTACAACTATTGTTGCCCAACTATTGTTGGGGGAGTGGTGGCGCAGAGGTTAGAAGATGGGCTCGCGATCAGAAAGTCGTAGGTTCACCTCCTGGTACCGTCAACATCAAAAAACGTGGGTGGAAAAGGTGAAACACCCACACCTGCCTCCACCCTCATTCACCCCACCCTGGGCCCCTGAGCGAGGCCCTTAACCCCCACCATGTGCTCCCTAAACAGGTCTCTCTTGAAAATGAGTTCTCGTGGCTCAATGAGACTACCTGGATAAATAAAGGGTAAATGGAAAAAAAAATGTGACTAATGTACACACATTTCTGTCTTTACATATATGTTTGAGTGTTGTTGCCCCACAGAGCCCTTTTTGTGACGTATCACACTCTCACTTATTCTTCTGCCACTAAAACAGCATTTCATCAGATTTACACGTCTGTCTTCATTTTCAACGTTTTCCAAGCGCGTGTTTTCTACTTCACTATCTC